AAAAAAAAAAAAAAAAAAAAAAAAAAAAAAAAGAAAAGAAAAGAAAAGAAAAAAGAGATCGCTTGACGTGGATAAACGACGGTTGTGGCCGAAATCAAAGTTTCTTCGTGGCATGGCATAGATCTACTTGATGTGAACATATTGAATATTGCATCGCATACCTCACCCCGCAGAAAGTTGAGCAGATAGCATCTTCTGCCAGCTCTTGCTACTAGTTCTAGTAGAGATCATCCTGACACCTTTTTAGCATGTATCTTCTACCAGCACCATTCATAGGAAGCAAAAGAATATATCTACAATGGAGGCCAGAATTTCATGAAGCTTCTAATCTTGAAGGATGACCGTCTCGTCACTCATTCCACAGTCCACCAGCTTGGCTCCCTTCCAAATTTAATGTTAGCGTGGGTTACAACGGCCAGCTTTACTTGGAATAAAAAGTTCGATGATGGAATCAGATCACTCATTGAGCTCCCCTGTGTCTATCAAAGAGGAGATGACGATCTGCTGACGTTGATGACACCTCTTGATTTCGGCGACGAAAGAAGGTATCGAATCAATCAAGAATCAGATGGAAAGCTTGTTCCTCGGCATGGAAATTGGTGAATCATTCTAGGCTGCAAGATCACAAGGTATGGAAGGCCATATCCCAGAACATGTATGTCGGCAAGACACTGGCTGAAGCAGGAATGCAAAGATGCTCAGGCAATACTTTACCAATGCAACTAGAATGGAAGCCGCCAAGGAAGGAAGATAGAGAAAAGTCTACTTCATTCATGATTATCAACAGTGAGCAGGCCATCTCAATTGGCTATCCATCAGCATGATATCCAACGGGCAGGTTACAGCCCGAAGCACCAAAGCGCAGCCCACCCTTCTCTCACTTTGCTCAACCATACAGGATATAAACCACTTCTCCCTCGCACATCTCCAATTTCTTCCTTCTCTCTCTCTCTCTTAACCACCCTCGTCTACGACACAGTCTCCTTTCCCACTACAACGCTGTCCCCTACTGCATTTCACCTACCTTCCTCCCCACCGCTTCGTCCCAAGTCATGGAAGAAGACCAGGACATTGACATCAACAATACCGACAATGACATGGCCAAAAGGGCCAAACGCATGGATGACGCGCTCGCCCAGAAACTGCCAGTCCCTTGGGTCTATACTGACGGCACAGGCGACCCGGCCAATTCGACAGACTGGAAACTAGTAGAGCCATGGATAGAAGACACCCCGAAGCCCCCGCAATACACCAAGCTATCAGATTTGCAAGTTTTCAACGTCATATCGCAAGACGTCTCCCAATCAGATAAGTACAGATTTTAGTCTTGGGGCTTTGGCTCTCAGGGCAAAATACAACCAGACAGGGCACTAATAAGCCCCCCTGTCCACGCCCAGCACGACAACAAAGTCTACTACCTGGGATTCAAACACCGTCAAAAATCATTCTTTGGATCTCCAAAGAGGAATCCATATGGCATTGAGTTGGTCACTCGGGTACTCTTTGCAGGACTGGTGAATATCATAATGGCTCAATAAGCCCTGTGGAATGGTAAAGGTGAATATAATCATGAACCTGCAGAACAGAGGGTTTCATGATTAGCTCATGACTACAAAGTATATCTGCTACTGTAGTAGCGAATGATGGTATCTTTGAGGGTACTGGAAATGCTACCATGGATCCAACATGTCTGCGAGTCAGTCTATTTTGCATCTCTCTGGTAATTGACATTCACAATATTAATCTGCCCATGGTCACAGTGAATATTGAAGCGATGACACTCTCTCCCACTTGCTAAAGACCACATCTGCTGTCGTTTCTTCCCTCTTGGGGTCATCTTCATCAATCCATCCATCACCATCGCCATCATCATCATCATCAAAAGCTCTATTGTCATGGAGCCTGTCAAAATGCTAATCGAGAGGCCGATCCCCGCTGAAACAATATCGTGGGACAACAAATGTGTCTGTCTCAGGCGAGGACATTTCGGCGCGGTTCCTACAGGAGTGGTTGGACTTTCCTGAACAGGTTCCGACCCTATGCAACTCTCTGTATCCTCTAGATACAACTGTGAGTTGTCAAGCTAATTCTTCTCCTAACAGCTGAAAATACCTTTTCAGCCATGCCAGGCTTTATTCAGCCCCTGTTTATATGCGAACGGGCTGGCGACTGCTTCACAAGAACTGGGGGCGCAGTCGATTCTCTTCGCGGGTGACGACGGCGTGCCCCGGAAATAGGAAATGGGTCAATTGCCATCGATCGATCAAGCAGTCCCATCATAAGGCCTTGTATGAGGTAACTTGGGACGGCAAACCTGCCGTAGCCGAATGCTGGTCTCATGCACGTTTTCAAAGGTACAAACACTTCTTCCGCCACCGTGGGGGTGGAATCACTGACACTGTACAGTTACGTTCATGAAGCCAGTACCTACGAGAGGCTTCAGCAGTTTAAGCCAGAAGGCTTCGAATTCTTTGCTTCTCTCCGGAGCCGACGGAAGATAGCCTGCTCGTCCGTTTCCCCTCGGGGCTACATCATTATTATATCGATGGCCAAAGGGATCCGCTTGACAAGCAATGGGACATTCTCTCGGGAGAACACAAGGAGCACATACACTCAACGATCCGCAGGGCAGTTAAGGCGCTCAGACGCATCGGGTATCTAGCTGTGGATTCTGGAAAGCACAATGTGCTACACTCCTCGGAAACGCGGGCTGTGACCATGCTCGACTTTGAGCTCATGCAGGCCTGCGACGAAAGCACCATTAACCCAGAGCGACCAGAGATGTACGCGATCCTTAGATATCCGACATTTCGGACAACTGATTTTGGCATCTTGGCGCTGCTGTACATCAATATGGATAAAGGCACAGCGGACCATGTTAAGCACATTCCACAAAGACCGTTCCCCAAGAAAGGGGCCGCCAATCCAGGGAGCGGAGACGGATAATAACACAATTGAGGGAAATGACTTCAGCTCCGGCCGAAAGGGCCGGCAGGGGAAACGGTTCGAAACGACCATGTCCGGATGGTTCGGCCGCGTGGTCTGCGATGAAGGCTAGACGGTCACGACTATTCAAGAAGACCCACCGAGTGGTGGCTCGCTTGAATGGAGGATCAGTAGATCTCAAGATACGTTTCTGATGATCGTTCTCTACCATCTTCATACAGACAAGGTAAGCTTACAGATCTCTTGTATATCGACAGACAGCTCATCGGGGAACAGCTGAATATGACCCTGCCTCTCGGACACGGTACTCCGATCAAGTGCATCCAGAAGATCAGGGCATTTCCGCAGCGTAACTTACTCATGATCGCTGAGGCTAGATAGTGGCTTCGTGCATGTGCGCGCATGGAGAGCTATGACCAGAGTCTACATACGGAGGAAATGCAAGCAGTTGCAGTAGCCATTCACCACTTTGCCAGATACCACTTACACCAGCCAAAATGAGCATTCAACCTGTAAGCATTTCTTTGATCAACTGCGTGCTGTGCTGTGCCCTTGTTGATTTTCCCAGGCATCCAAGTATGATACCGTGTTGACTTTTCACGATGAGTACCGGGCCGCGAGTGTTCAGGACTATGAGGGCGCTCTCACTGGCGTCTGCGACCTGCTCCTCAACTATTACTTCAACCAAGTGATGGTTTGTCCAAAGAACACACGACAAAGTCGAAGGGGGTTATGTTGATATTAACGGTTACTAATAGCTATTTCAACTCAACTAGCCGCGTAGACAAGCGGACTGCAAGGCAGAATAACGAAGCGACCTGGAAGAGGACAGGGGCCAGCTACAGAGATACATGGAGCCATGGTGGTTTAGCGCGCTGTCTCAGAGAGGGGACCTTGGATGAACGCTGGATGGATGCCGTCACAAAGGGCAACCCCTGGATGTTGAAAGCTCTGTGGCAGCCTTTTACAGGAGGGTCAGCTACTTGGATATATGGGAATCATGGTGGTTTAGCACTCTTGCGGTATCTGGTTCCTCACGGCTACATCATGTTCAACCGGATGCAGAGAAGCGTACACGATGGAACAATACGAACACACTGCGATGCTGATTGTACGACTATGGAACCATAAGAACCCTCGCAGCCTGCCCCGATCCCATGGACGTATGCGTCTGAGACGGTACCCGGTGATCCTAGTGACAGCACGAACTGGAGGCTGGTAGAGCCATTAATACTTGATATGCCACGGGCCACAACCTCCGCAATATACCCGACTGTCAGACCTTACATCGCCATCCTATACTCCGGTTTGAGTCGGTCCGATGTTGAGAGTCCCTGAGGGTTACGAAGTATAGTCGGTCCTCCTTGAATATTCCATTTGGATGCAACTTACGGAGATCTCCCAGAGAGTCGAAGGCATACCAACTGGACGAGAGTATGGATGACCAGTAGACTGGCTGCGGATGATCTCATTTTCAGCGGACTGATGAGTATAGGCAAGCTCCGCTCCTATGAGAGCAAGCAACTGGAAGTTTACCTTCCGTTAACCGCTGTCTATGGACAGTGGTGCGTAAAGCTCATCGTGCAAGGCAGCCTCGATTGGCCAAGATGTTCCAGTGCAGCTGGACCGAGGATGGGGAGTACCATCTCGACGCCTCCTCAGGGTTGATGGGGGAGGGAATCCTGGCTGCCCATGTTGACCTGTCTTGGTATGGGATCATTAGGTCTCCATTGGTGCAGTTAGCCAACTGGCCAGAGTTTTGATCCGGATGGCACGAGCCTGTGAAGGCGACCAAACCGCCCAGATCGTGGCAGACATTGCCGCCTCCCGTCCTAACGATGATTTATTTGCGGACGCCATGAACAATTCAGAACCAACTTATTGGAAGTCTTGCAGAGCAACTCGCGAAATTCAACCTGTCTGCGGATATGAATCCTCCGCACCCTCCTTCGAAGAACCTGACTTTCATATCAAGCCCCATGAATGCACTTTGCCGATAATTGTATCTGAAGTTGGGTATTCTGCATCATACCCTCGTCTCGTTAGAGACAAAGATCTCTGGCAGGTGGGCTGCGCCTCCCATGCCAATGTGGTGACTGGTCTTTCTTGTCAAATGGTCCTTGTTCACTCAACCTCGGATCAAAGGCCGGGTTGAGGTCTGGAGGAGAAAATCAGCCAGTGCCTGTTAGCTTCGTAAGGTTTTCCTCTCATATAACAGTGTCATTGCAGGGGATTTTCCAGGCAACTCCAGTGCTGAGACGAGAACGCCTAACGCTAGGATTGACAAGCTAACCGGCCCGAGCATGATCAATACCCTGGCGACCTGCTAGATTGCATGCGGACAGATTGCAGTCCTGGAAAATGACTCTACAGCGACATGGACCAACGGACATCCAGGTCGGACTGACTCACCCCGCAGATCCAATCCCCGGTTTCTCACAAAATTTGGGAGATTGACTCGGTCAACGGAAGAAACTGGAACAGGAGAGCATCAGATCCCGTCAGACGCCTGACATTCTCGACGTCTTGGAAGCATCTCTGGATGAGATTCTCAATACACCAACTGTCAACCCACCAAAGGCAAGCACAAGTGCGGCAGATCGGCCATCGCCGACCCAGCGTGCAGAGACGAGAGAGTAGACAGGTCTCTGATGACCTTAAAGAACTCCTGAGGGACTGGATACTTTTCCCATCCCAGATACGGTTGTTTTGCGATCTGCAACACCATCCGAAAGTAGTCCTTCCGAACGCCTTCCTGGTACCGAAGCTTTGGTTCTTCCAGAAAGGCGGAGGAACCAGAGGCAGTGTCCTTGTTTTCATAGCTCAGAGAGGTCCTAAAGAGCATCATATACAGATATTGCGAAGCTCTCCAGAAGGTAGTGATACTGCAAAACACTACAGCACTTACACCCTTGTCCACTTCCGCTATACTTGCCTTTTTACCTCCCACTAAAGATGGAACAATAGCTAGAATCAGCTTTATACTAGCAGCGACGGACTCTTGGGTACAGCGTTTCCCGTTCTGCGGACCAATGTGCTGTGGGGATATACTCGTCCTAGCTTCCAACATCGGGGATGGTATGATGACGACGACGAGAACGATCTTCAGAAATGGATGGAGATAGTGGCTGGAGCAAGTGTATGGGCTTCCATTCTCTGGTCCAGGCGATAGTAGGAGTCAGGTCTTCGTCATCGAGGACAGGATACACGTTCCTCTTGATTGAAACATAAGGGGACTTGAGAGCCAGGTGCGTTAGCATTGCGTGTCGGTCCAAACGGTTGTTATGCAGCAGAAGCTGAAGGATGGAGGTGCGTTTTGCATGCTCTTGCAATATTTCTTTCCGAGGGTGGAGGGTGGGAGGCTGGTGTTTATTATTATTTCACTGTCTTGCTAGCATCGTTAGCTTGGATGGAAGGAATTGGTTCCTGCAACGTACTGCATTGGGATACAGGCCGGGATCATGGGAAGGACTTTCAACAAGGGCACGGCGGAGATGTCATACCACTATGACTATAGATATGTATTCTAGACTAGGAGTACATCGTCCGGACAGCATGTAGTCTATCGGTATTAGATATCAATAGACACTGAGCCATCACTGCCTTCCACTACTAACTGTACAACCTTGTATCTACTCACTAAAGAGAAACCATCAAAACGCCAGCCATGGCGGCAACAACCCCATAGGCAACCAACGGCCAGCCGCCCACCCGGACCGCAGCAGGACTCACAGCGCCTGCAGCCGCACCCTTGGACGTGGACGTACTCGCCGCACTACCGCTACCACCAGTGGTACCGCTTCCCCCCGTCGGCTGGGATGTGACCGTCCCGGTTCCCGCAGAACCAGCCTGGCTAACCAACGGCTTACAATCCGCCGACTCGCCCTTAGGCGACTGCACCGACGCCGCGCCGGCAAAGTCACACGCGGAGGCCACCTTCTTCTGGCTCTTATAGTACCGATCAAACACATACGACAGCTGGTCCTTGCTCGTGCAGACGCTGTACGCGCCATACGAGCCCGTCGTGGCGTTGTGGGCGATCCCGTCGCAGATCCCGCCGCCGTATCCGCAGACCTGCCCGAAGAGCTCGCCGTACTTGTCGGCGGCGACGGAGTCCTTGACTACGCAGGACAGGCTGGATACCATGCAGTTGCAAAGCTCTGCGTTGGGGATCGGGGGTAGGGGGCTGGACTTGGCGAGCCAGGTGTCGTCGACGGTGGGGCAGGCGCGCGGTGAGTTGGTGGGCGAGTAGCTGGCGCTGTTGACCCCGGTGGGCGTGGCGCTTTGCATCTCGGACGAGAGGTAGGCGAAGTCTGGTTCTGGGGTGACGGAGGAGCCGGACACGGAGACTAGGCCGTAGTCGTTGGTTGTCTCGAAGTACATGTAGACAATGCCGCCGCTCCAGACGTTGTCCATCTGCGGGCCGAAGAGCACGGGCACGTCGGTGAACTTGCGCGGTTTCTCGGTGTTGCAGCCGTATTCGGAGAAGAAGATGGGAATGGAGTAGTCCTTGTACTCGTCGGTGCGGTTCTCGTAGCCCGAGGTCTGGAAGGTCTTGTCGCCGCACCATTCGTAGATGTTGTAGCCGAAGAAGTCAATTGCGTCGGCCTGGTCGCCGCAGTTTAGGTAGTCGGACAGCGGGAGTCGGATCTCCGGGTTGTCGGTGGTCGCGTACCCGATCGCCAGCGATTGCCGGTATCCTTTGTTCTTGATATAGGCTTTCATGTCTCGCGCGGCGGCCTTGACGAACGCAGCGCCGGCGGACTGATTCGCCTGGTTCACCACCTCGTTGCCGGCGAAAAAGCCAATCACGTTATCGTACTTTTGGAATGCGTCGATGACGCTGGTGTAGCGGGCGTATTGGTCGACCGTCCAGACAGGAGAATTAGACGTGATGGATACGTCCGGCGACGCCAGATCCGTGATGACATAGATCCCGGCATCGGACAACTTCTGCATGCACGCATCGTGGTTCAAGGACGGGTTGACGGCATACGTCC